CAGGGATTGGAATCATCCTGACTCTTGAGTCCTGGGATAACTGGCAGCCTCTTCTGCCAATTTGTATTTGCCAAAGAGTCACAGAGCTTGTCCAGAATCTGGGGGAGGGGACACTCTCAATGGGAGAAATATGAAAGGACTTGTGATCATCTTTAATCTGCCTCACTGTGAGGACTGCCTCAGTAAAGCTAATTTTAGAGCAATGACAGAAACCAAAGCTTCAACATGCTTTTGAGGTGGATCACAAAAGGCTCCTCATACTCCTGCCTTCTGCAAGTGAGCTGGGCCAAGAAATCTCAGAGAAAATAGAGAAGACCTGGTGCTAAGGTCTGTATCTACATGTCCCCCTGAAGCCTGACATAAGCATGGACTAGATTCAGAGTGGGGGTACAATAGTGCTGGTGTCAGTGCAGCTCAAAGAAGGGTGGATAGGGACACAGAGCTGAGACTCCTCCTCCTGAGTCCAATCCATGCTCTTGGCCAAAGCAAAAGTGTGCTCTGGACTTGACTAGGCCTCAGGGGCCTCTCTTCAAAGTACCTCTGTGTGGGGCAAAGCTGAAAGTGCTCTGTTCCCATGGCTTTGGGGGTTGGAGCACATGTAATCATTAGCTGGGACTCATACCACTCCTAGCATATTTTCTCTCCAGGAGCTTGGCCTCTACTTCGCCTATACACTATCAGGTGCACCTAATAGCTATTTCTGTGACACTGCAAGGTTACCCAGGTCAGGAGTTTGCAGCGCAGCCTCAGAAGCTGCCTTCCTGGCTTGCACTTTGGGTTTACAGCTGCAACTTCAGGCAAGGCAGCTTCCCTCCTGGAGCATTGGGTTTCCTGACTGTTACATCTACCAATCAGGAAGGCCACCTGCCCCAGGGACCTGTGCCAACACCAAGAATGGATTGGAATGTGCTCAGTACTCAACAGATGTTAGCTTTTCTCCTAGCTGAATAGAATAACTCCCAAAGAGCTACCTGTCCATCAGCACAAGTCTTATTTGTACCTATCAGGCACTGGCACTCAGAAGGGAAGAAGCCCCCAGCATCCCTGCCCTCAGAGGGCCTCTGTCTGTGACCAGCTGGGATGCAGGAAGTAGGAGAAATTGAGTAATGCATGTGACACGCAGGTCGTGTTCATGGCCTCTAATGTGCAATGGAAATGTAGGCAACAGGAGTGATTGTGTGGGAGCAGCACCTGACTGTCCATGGGGACAATAGTGGCCAGGCTCACTAGCGAAGCCCCCTGTCTTCTCAGGATACCTTCCCTGAAGTCCTACTTGCTCTCCAGTCTTTCTGACAGCAGTCTCCCGATCTGGCAGTACTGGTCTCAGGACAAGGCTCAGTGGTTTCTGCCGCCATGGAGAACAGGCTGTGAGTACTACAGCCTTGCCCAGAACAAGCCACAGAAGTGTCACAGTCACAGCCACCAGGAGTACAAAGGCTCCTGTCTACACAACAGAATGCCAGAAAACATCAGGTGTCTGATGAGATGAGGCTGAGCAGCCTCATAGACTCCCCTGTCTCAGGGCTGGCCCTCTGTCCCCACCCTCCCTGGAGTCTGTCCCCTTGTGGTTGCTGAGGCTGAGGATCCCAGAGCTCCCCTACCCTGGATTCCCTCTGGACGGCCCAGGGAGAGTCAGCAGGTCTGTCACCAGCTAGCCTGAGTCCAAGGCCAGCCCGAGGCCAGGAAGTGCAGTCTGGGACATCAGTGGTTCCAGATGCTCTGTCTCACCTTCCCACTGCCCTTGTCATTCTGTCTGGATGGTGTGGCTGTGCTGGCCACTGACTCTGAGTACATATGATGGCCGTTACTCCAGATGGGGACAGTCAGGAGCTGGTGAGCCTTTCTGCCTCCTCTTTCCTATGTGCAGTGACCCTGAGGGTTACGTCCTGGAGGTGAAGGTGAAGTTAGCAATGTCACAAGCCAGGTCACCACATGGAGGCCCCAGGCGGGAGAACTGCTTAACCCTACAGCCTGGCCCAGCCAGAAATCAGCCTTTGCAGGTCTGTGCTAGGTCGCTGGGTGTTGGGTCTTATTTGTTACTGCAGCATTAGCCTGTCCACTCCTGACAATATAGAGCCAGATCGCATCTCTATCCGGGATAACGAGTTAGGAGCTGTGTACCCGAAGACAAATGACTGGCTGTCTCTGTGCCTCAGTCCTCCTTGAGGACAGCAGTGTCACCTAGTTCACGGGGCTGTCAAGGGAACCTGATGAGGAAACACATGTTAAGAGCCTGGTACACGGATAGGACCCAGAAAATGCTGCTGCTGTCTCTGCTGAGTGTCTATAATGCCTGTTTTACAGAGAAGAAGCGAAGGTGCGAAGACGTCTCTTTCCTAGGTCACGGGACCAACAAGCCACACAGCCAAGGAGAAGGTGCGGCAGTGAGAAGCCAGAGTCCTGACGCACTGCGCACACACCAGCGGCCTTGCGGCTCAGTTTTTTCCAGCTGGGCCTGACTTTGTCTTAACCTGTTTTCTTAGCTGAATGAGTGTGATACTAATCTTATCTAGAAGGTGTTGGACTTGTCAATGTTAAAGGTAAAGTCCTTTTGAGTTCTGCCCTTACCCGTGGGTGTGTGCCGTTTCTCACGTGGCTTTCCAACTGATTTGGGTTCCAGCCAAACCCTGTGTTGAAGGAAATTTGGATCAAGGTGGCTGCACTGCGCCCCCTGGTGGCCATCACCACTAGATGCTCTGGTTGGCGCTCTGCCTGGATCAAAAGAACTTCGCAGCTGCAGATTGTTAGCTGCAGGCTGTTAACTCCAGGCTGAGTTAGACCTGCTGGCTCCCAGGGCCTGTGGAGCCCCACGGTGCATCTGCACCCCATGCACCTCTGTTGGTGGAAGGAATGTCCTGACTATCCACAAATTCTGACGAACTATCCCTCCCAGATTGGCTAAAACTTCAGGAAAACCAGGCCCAACATCTGACAGTACGAAGGAGAGCATCATGAGGTGCTTGGAGGGCCCGCTTCCCGGAGCTGGGGGATGCTGAGGGACATCTCTGCACCTCTGCCTCCTGCCATTGCTCCTGGCTTGCACAAGGCCTTCGATGAGGACTGATCATGTCTGCAGCAGCCACACTTGGGTCTCTGGGCTTTACTGCTGCATATGTCATTGGGCCGCCGTGCCCCTCCTGACTTCCCACCACCAGCACCCACCTTACGGCTGCCGTGTCCCTCACCCATGAGAGACTGCAGAATGCTCAGTGTGTTTCTACTCAACTTATGTCCTTGGTGGGTGTGGCTTTTGTGTCCCATGGGGCATTAAGCACCCATGACCTTGCGGACTGCTCCTCACCAGTGTTTGCTCCCTACAGCCATCCAGGCAGCTCGAATCTCAGGTGGAGGCTTTATGTCCTGCAGCCAGATGAGGCCCAGATCGCTGTCTGTGAGCACGTAGGATATTAGGCCACCACCCCTGCTTGGCCCCACAGTTGAGAGGATGGAGAAGCTGATGCAGAGCCCAGGGGAGGCTCGTGGTGCTCTCGCTCAGGCTGAATGAGAGCCTGTGGCTGAGACTTGTGGCAGAGTATGCGGGTCCCTCTTCTTCATCTTGTCCAGCTGAACTAGCTTTTCTGTCAGCAGATGTGACTTCCTGCTTGCGGCAGTCAGGCCAGCTGGAAACTGGGCAGCACACAGGCAAAAGGATGCGGCACTCTGCCTCCCAGAGCTGTGCTGAGCAGGGCCCTGGCTTCCCTGACAACCCTGAGCCCCTCATCTGCCACATCAAACTACCACTGATGGTGGTGCTTATATAGCAGAGATTTATTATCTCACAGCACTGCAGGCTGGAATCTGAGATCAGGGGTCAGTGTGATTGGACTCTGTAACAACCTTCTTACTGACTTGTGGAAGGCTATGTCCTTATATAGCAAACAGGGAAGCGGGAAGAGGTGCAGATGTTCTCTGACGTCTTCATCAAGGGCACTAATCCCATTACGAGGACCCCACCCGCATCACCTTTCTAACCTTAATTGCCTCCTAAGCCTTAATCTCCAGATAACAGCACAGTGGGCACTAGAGTTTCAGCATATGCAATGACAGGGTACTGATTCAGTCCTTAGGACTGGAGTTGAGTGCTTACAAAACACCAGGGGATGCAAGAACATCAGCCAGTATCCCAGCATCTCATTACCAGGAATTGGCCGGTTCTATGAGGACTCCAAGTTTCAGCTGGAGACGACCAGACCAGGAGGGCTTTGACTTCTGCGTGGAAGAGGCTTCACCTTGTTCTCTGGGGCTCAGGGCTGGCTTGGACAGCCCGGAGGTGCACCCTGGAGGGAGCAGTAGTGATGGGGCAAATACATACATGGTTAGCACCATCCACAGGTGATCGTCCTGCAAGTGCTGGTGTTTGGATTTGACCTCCAGAGGCAGGTGTGTAAAGGGAGGGAATGGAAGCAGAGGAGGGGGTGTACAAACTGCAGAGTGCCCTATGGATAGGAATGCATCATTAACATTCACAGCAATTGTATATTACAGAGTCCCAAGACTGGGTTTCTAGATCTATTTTTTAAAATAAGTGCAAATGAGAGATTTGTGCAACTTCACATCGGACACGTGTCCATGTGCCCGTCTCTGTGTACGGCAGACAGATACTACCTTGGCTTATGTGAGGTCCTGGCCAATCAGGTGCTAGAGCAGCTAGCCTGTGTCCCTCAGGCTGCCTGAGAATCCTGCTGTTGTGATCTCACACCCCTCCGATGGCTACTCTTGTTGGGTTCTGTTGACAGATAAGGCAGCTGAGGCCCAGGGAGATGAAATGACACACCACAGCCACACAGCAGGGAGCGGCAAAGCTACAGCTGAGGCCCACATTGGTGTACCACTGTCTCCCAAGTCTCTTTCTGGGCATATTTTAGTGGCAAACACTAACCCTAAGGCCCCAAAGATGAAGCATCTGGCTACTAAAAGACTAAAAACATCTGCTGAAGGGGGCATACCAGGCAGTGCCTCCCAGGGTCTGGTATGAAAAAAAAAAAAAAAAACCACAATCAAACGATAAAATAATTCTTTTTTTATTCATTTTGATTTGGATCATTGGAAATATTCAACAATAAATAAAACAGAGCAGGAGTTGAGGAAGCAGACTCACTAATGTCATTCAAAACCCATCCAGATCAGTCAACACTCAGCTGCGAAATAAACCAGAAGGAGGTACAGGGGAGGAGAAAGCAAACTTCAAATCACCAAGAGCCAAGTGAAAGAGATGGCAAGGAAGAAAAAGTGCTCAAGGAACTTTGGCTTTGAAGGGGACCGGGTGAAGGACTAAAATGATTGTGCAGGAGGGAGGGCTGGGGCTCCTGAGCAGGATGGGGATAAAGCTGCCACCCCCGGGCCAGACGCCTGGCAGGCGGTGAGCCCTGGCACCAAGGTAAAATCGAGGGACCAGACAGAGTCTGGATGGGCTGGGGGAAAAGAGGTGGCTGGCGGGGGCTCATTGCCTGCGAGTTTCAGGGTCCTTTGGGCGAGGAGGGAGGTTTTTGATTCCCCACTGGCCTGGCCCAGACGCTGCCTGCCTTACCTGTCCCTGCCGTTTGCTTCCTAAGTCAGTTTTCCTTTGCGCAGATGTCAGGTAGCGCCTCAGAGTACTGCCGAGGAACCGGAAGAGGAAAGCGCATCTTGATTCTCTCAGAACCCACCTCCCACGCCACAGAGGGGAGGAGCAGCCTGTTCTACATGGCCATGCTTGCTGCAAACCAGGTGTCCACAATGGGCACAGTGGTGTCCCTGAGCTCTCTGGAGGGGTGAGGACAGTTGCTGGTGTCAGGGGTCCCCCAGCTGGTTCAGCCTCTTTGACCGGACAGTAGCCACTTGAGGCTGGGCTTCCCAGGAGAAAGCATTTCCCATCAGCACCCGGTAAGGGGGAGAGCATTTCCTTTTTCATTTTGCTGGTTTTCAGGCTCCCTTGAAAAAGAACGGGCAAAGCAATCACTGAAGTCCTAAATGTTCTCTGTGGTTCTGTCCACTTCTGACCCAGAACCAGACTCGGGATTCTCACGGAAGTAGAACTGGCCCTTAGCCCACCCTTTTGGACACAGCAGGGATTGGGATTCCATCCCGGCCCCCCCAGTCTGGCCTGTGCCTAAAACAGCCCCCAGGTCTTCCCGCCCTCACTGGCCTTTCCTCTGGCTTCATTGTTCCTGTTTTCTGGAATCTGACTTCTCCAGCTGAGTTCAGCCCACAAAGTTTGTTGGATCACACCTGACAAAGCCAGAGTTTCAAAGGGCGCCCATTTGAGAATTTTGCCCCGGGTCCCTCTGGGCAGCAAATGTTACCAATCTGCCCTCCTTTCAATCCTAACAGTGGGTGAGGACCAGGGAGGTAGGGGTCGGTGATGCTGGCACTGGAAATTGTGCCTACTGGCTTACTGAGGGATTGAGGGCCAAAGCTCCGCTGAGATCTCCTAGGACCCCTCAGCGCCCCTGCCCAGAGCCCTCAGGTTCAGCTCTTTGAGACAAGGGCCCTCCACTTGCTGCCTGAAGCCCAGGGTGGGTCTCCCAGCTAGGGTACTCTCCTGCCTCCAGCACACCCTAGTTCTGTCACGCTCACCCTAGACTTAAACTAGTTGTGCATTTAATTCTAGCCACAGCCAGCAACTGTTTTTATTTGCTTAAGTATATCTTGCTAAGTAAGATGTCTGCTGAGATATGGAAAAGAGAAACACCACCCGTCCTCTCTTCCACCAGGAAGTATATGACATCAAGGAGCTTACTGAGAGCCACTCAGGAGGCCTGAGGACAGAGATGTGGCTGAGGCAGAGCCTGTATGAGACACCCACATCTGGTTTCTATCCCCCAAGACTGGCTGGGTGGGATCTTGCCAGGAAAGCCCAACTCTGTCCATTTTAAATGTGCAGCCAATACCATCCTAGTTTTGCTCTAGTTCTCTTTGACTTGTGCTCTCTGTCATATGGGATCACTTTTGCAAGTCACATCCCTTCTTTGGGCCTTGCTTCTCTCATCTGTAAAATGTAGTGCTGGCTCAGGGACTCAGGGGTGGGGCCCATAGCTGGACTATCTTCTCACAGCGGGGAGGCAGATGCAGGCAGACAGACTTCCCAAGCAGCTTCTAGCTCAGACACAGGCACAACTTCGCTTCTGAGACCTCTTCTTACACAGCGGACACAAGCAAGCCGATGGCTCCACCGGAAACTGTCCTCTCTGAACAGACTCAGCCTGTAGCTGAGCGGGCCACGGAGAGTGCGCACTGCTTGCTGTGCGCATGTGCACTTGTCTCAAGTTCGTCCCTGTGATGGATCGGACAGCTAACAAACATGAGCTGGGCTCTTCTCATTACAGGTGACTGATTTGTAACATTCGAGGACGCACATTCAGAATGAGGACCTCACAATTTACCCACCTTTATCAGGCATGAATCCTAAGTCTGGGAAGATTCTTAAAGCTGGCACAGGTACTACATTCTACACAAAAACGAAAACAAAAGCAAAAATACCTCTTCTGGATTCTGAATCTCTGAGACTCTTCTGAAAGCTACAGCAAAAATGCTCATCTGCGCATGCTCAAGGGAAAAACCAAACATGGCGTGCACTTCCCAGGAACTTTTGTGGATGGTCTGAAGCCCCCCATCTGTGGTCCCTGACTGAGGCCCCTGAGCTCCTGACCTCTCTCCCTCCTGGTCTGCAGAGGGTCTGACTCGGGGAGGGACCCAACCTTCTTTATCCAGAAACTGTCTCACCTCCTCGCCAAACATCTGCCTTTGGAAAATGTTCTCCATAGCAAGTGGCTTTTCTGATTGTCAGTGATTACAGCTAGCAGTCACTGTCCCTGTGCCTGCTGCTCTGCTCCCCCAGCCAGTGAGGTGGCGTGAGGGGGAGACTCCTAGCCTGAGAGCCGAGCCAGGAGGAGGAAGAGGGAGGAAGGTATGTCAGAGGGGAGGTGGCTGGGACCAGCCCACAGCGCACCAACCTTCACCCTGGAACCCGCCCTGGCCATGTCCAGCCTTAATGCCCTCTACCCGAAGTACGAGGATTCCTAGCAGCCCTCCTTTAAAATCCCTGCTCCCAGACACAGGAGACGAAACAGAAACTTAATGGAAACACCAGGGATGGTGGCACAGCCAGAGCACACACATGTCAGTTGAATTAAAAAATACCAATAAATAATTAGGAAGGCAGAGCAGGAGGGGAAAGACTGAGAGTGAGGAGACGAGGTATGTGCTGGTCACCATTCCTTGGAAGCCCCCACCCTGACCCCAGGACTCCAAGAAGGTAGCCCAGGGCTCAGGCACTCGGGGAAAACGCTGGCTGGGAGGTCCTACTTGGCTGGGGAAGGTCACAGGCGCTGAACCAAACAGTCCTGGGAAACAGCTGGATGCCACAGCCAGTGTATCCCCCCGTGTCATCTGAGCCTCGTTCCACTTCAGGTGCTGGCTCAGGAACCTAGCAAGAGGTTTCCAGCTGTGCAGCAGGGTGCTCCCTTCTTTGAGCGGGGGCTTTTGCCTCATCTCAGGCAGGGCATGCACTTCTTCCCCAAGCACAAAGGCACATGAAGTAGTCAGATCTGCTCTCGGCGCTAATTAGAGCCACGGAGATTGATGAGGAAAGAGAACTCGTGTAGGCAGAGGCAGCTGCTCCTGTTGGAAACATGCGGCCACATTTCTATGAAGACCTTGGGGTCGGTTGGCTCACCAGGTCATCATCAATGAGCCTCAGGAAGAAAGGGACAGCAGGGTTGTCACATCAAGCGAAGCCAGGCTTCCTGCAAACAGGCAGCAGCGTCTTGTCCCCATGCCTGCGCCGCCTAGCCTGGCTCCAAACTGGAGGTAACTCTCACTGACAAACATCCCAGTGAGAATGGGAGTTTCAGAGTCAGTGTTGGACCCTGCAGCAGCAGCTGGCCTCTGCCCATCTTTCCTGGGAACTCGTCTGTCTTCATAGAATCCAGGAGCTTTTAATATTGCCCTCCACTAGAAGCCAAAATAATTACCTCTCCCAGCATCTCCCCGCTACTCCAGCACTGAGACAGCAGTGTGGCGAGCTCTGCAGCCCGAGACAGGTCCTAGGACTTGCCGTGCAGCCCTGGCAGAGTGGGGTGACTTTGCTGAGTCAATGCTGCCTAAGGCGGGAGTGCAGGAGGCTATGAGCAGCACCTGGGCACCCCCGGGGCTGGCTCTGGAAGCTCCCAGAGGGGAACAGCTCTGGTGAGATGCCGGGGCTGAAACCGACAGGCGTGAGGTGATGAGTCCATCCTTGACCTTGCGGAGCATCATCTCCCCTTGAAGATCCGGATTTTGTTGATGGCTGCCAGGGTGGCCGTCACATTGGACTCAAAGTCACCATCATGCACTCCTGTCTTTCGGAAAGCCCCCGCAGAAGGGTTGTTCTCCCAGTAGTGGTGCCAGTTCCCCTTGCTGTCTGCCCCAAAGCCATACAAGTCCACCTGCAGGGGCGAAGCGAAGGTGAGAATTAGGTATAGAGATACAGTGGAGCTCCCAGGACAGGGAGCCTGTGGGCACCCCAACATCCTACAAGCAGGTCTACACCCAGTATTCAGACAAAACCCCTCTCCTCCTTCTTAGAGTTCCCAGGGCTCAGGGAAGTCAAGGCAAGTAGAGCAAAACTGAAGTTCCGCGCCAGCCCATAGGCACCAGGGAGCTGACTGCAGGTGGACGGACCCGAGGTGGGATGGCCTCTCTTGAGCCAAGAGCAACCTCTTCTCCAAGGCTGCAGCCCTGAGGCATGGGCAGCACTGGGATGGACAGCGGGCTTTGGAGCCAGGCAAATGGCCTCTTATGTGGCTGGCCCTGGTTGTGTCAAGCCACTTCTCTGAGCCTCACTGTCCTCATCTGAAAGTGAGGCCAAGAATCACACTCATAAGAGGCAGGCGACAGGTACTGATCCATTTCTTCCTAGAGGGCAATGTCTGTCTGGCTCAGTGGCCCTCAGTGAAGGGACCTGGGGCTTAATACGTTTGACAAACACAACAAAGCACTAATCAGGTGCCTGGCACTGTCAGACATGTCAGATACCGCCAAGACGGTGCTGGCGAAATCAGAAACACACACGGCTGGCCTCCGCCTTGGAGCATATGCTAACAGAGTGAAGCATATTCTTTTATATGGCCTTGAAGTATATTATAACAGAATGGAGTTGCTGCTAAGACTGAGCCACTCTTGGAGGAACAGGGGCTGAATTCAGGGCTCCATTCAACCACGAGGAGCTGAGGAGCTAAGTTAGAGGAGGCTCTTCCAAGCATGGGACACCAGAGTTGGGTCTTCAAGCGAGTAGACGGTGACCAGGAAGAAGCCATGTGGAGGGGCCTCTAGGGAGAACACATGCCATGGATTGAGGCCTGGAGGACGTATTGGAGGGCTGGGAACAAAGCAGAGGCAGGGGACAACTCCATGGAAAATGCAGTTTCTTAGTAAATGCCTGCATAGACACAGCCCACAGAGCAAGGACATCAGGCTGGACAGGATGAAGACCCCTCTTCTGAGACAGAACTCCAAGGGGTAAGAGACCCATGGGCTGGAAATTTTGGGTGGGAGCTGGGAGGGGATAGCAGGGGATGGGAGACTGTGGTCTCCCTTGCAGTCCCCTTGGCCTCGTCCGGGTTCTAACTAGGAGCCTGGTGGGGTAGGGGCAGGGATCTGAGTGTCCCCCGCTGAGCTCAGGCCCAAGGCAAAGAACTAGAGCATGTTCCTGCTCCTCTGCTCAGGTACCTGGCCTCGTGTACAACTTGGCAAAATCACCAGGAAGTAGTGGAATCCCCAGGTACCTGGTTCACACCTCCACAAGTTCTGGTGAAATTGGGCTGTGCTGTGGTCTGAGTGTTGAGCACAGCTAGACAGGTAATTCGAATATCAGTGTTACAACTGAGCCACTTAGGAGGCAAAGCATGCCCTTGAATGACTCTCCCTGCTGGAACCTGCTTTCATTTTGCTGCTGAATCTGAGCTCCCCCAGGCCTTGTCCTGGTTCGCCTTGGACAATGACCAGAGCATGCCAGACTCTTGTATCTGAAAACTTTCTCACAGAACACTGTCACTCCTCAAAATCCTATGAGGTGGGCCTCAGGAGGCCAAGGCAAAGACAGGGCAGCCGAGCTTCTAAAGAGTGGCAAGCCCTGGTCCGTAACAGTCTGCAGCACACAGAGATCACGTACCTCATCACAGACATGCATGGAGAAGATGACCGAGAGGATGCCAGTGGACGGATACCGCCCGTGGCCCTGCAGCCAGTTGTCGAAGACATACTTGATGAAGGCTGGGTGGTAGATCAGGATCTGCAGGAAGAGGATGGGCCCTGGGTGAGTCTGGCAGGCAAAGGATAGGGGATCCTAGTGGGTGCCACACACTCTTGTGGTCATGGGGCCATGGGGGTCCAGCCGAGAGGGACCCTGAAAGCCATGCTTGAACTGTAGGCTTCAGTGCTGGGGGAGAATGGGCCACAGCCTACATTCCACAGAGGGTGAAGACGAGGATGGGAGGAGCTGGAGGAGACTCAGATAGCAGCCATAGACAGCAGAGCAGGAAGGCTCAGGGGAAGGCAGTAGTTAAATGGAAATTCACAGAGGCCAGCAAGATGGCAGTGGGATCCTCTCTCTCCCTCTCTCTCTCTCTCTCTCTCTCTCTCTCTCTTTCTCTCTATCTTTCTATCTCTGTCTCTGTCTCTGTGTGTGTGTGTGTGTGTGTGTGTGTGTGTGTGTATGTGTGTGTGTCTCTTTCACACACACACACACACACACACACACACAGCCACTTGCTCTGCCTGGAACTGGTCATCTGTGGGAATCGGTTCTATTCCTCAAAATGGCCAACACTCATGCCCCCACCCTTGCTCTTGTCACCCAGGGGGGGCCCAGGCTCCGCAGCCCCTGCAGAGCTCAGGAAACTCAGGCCACTGGGCAGCACCACAGGGGCTGAGGCAGCAGGCCTGGGTGGCCTGAGGATTCCCACCCTACGACAAGTGCCTTCCCCACTGTGAAGACCTCTCCCATTGCTGACCTCTTTACAGGGAAGAAGCCAAAATGGGGACCACATCTTGCCTAGTGGAGCCCCTACTCACCTTATCCTGTTTCACTTTGATCTTCGTGGGGACCGGGACATAGGTGCTGCAATGAAGGGAAGAGGAGACGGTTAGTGTAGGGAGGTGTCTCTTGGGAATGCGGTGGGATGAGGAGGGGCCAGGCAGCAGGGCCTCCCCTCCTTACCCTCACTCCTCTTAATACATTCTGTCCCAGCCAAGTCCCTTCTGTGGGCGCCCCCTACAGACACAAGAGGGCAACCTTGACTCATTCTAGAATGCTACCTAGTTTGATGCCCCTCTTCCTGGAGATGCTGGGAGAGGTCCTGCTTAGCCCAGTTCCTTTCTGCCTGGGCTGCTCCCTCACTACCTTCCCACCTTCAAAGGCCCAACTGAATGCAGCCCCAGCCCCCAAGCTCCTGGGAAGGCCTGGCCTGACACCAGTGGCTCCATGGGAGCCACTCTTTTCTGGGAAAGCTGGGGACGAAGAGATTGGACCCGGATGGTTATCTAAGCTCTGGCTCAGGTTCAACCTTAGGCAAGTTGTCTGACTGGGCCTCCGGTTCTGAGAGCTACTGTACCCCCAGCCTCTCACCCCAGCCCAAACCCCTTTATACTTTAAAAGGCAAAGTTATTTCAGGGGGGCACTTGAAAATTAGGGGGGTTTTTGGGGAAACAAAGTCAGGGTCCATTTGGAGTCCTTAGTAGGAGGATGGTAAAGCTTGTGGCTTGGTAGATGTGGTGGGAGGAGAGGGGTATGGGTGTCCAAGTGGGGGCAGCAAAGCCTGTGGGGCATGGGAGGGCAGAGGCAGCCTGAGGAGGGGACTCACTGGGAGATGGTACCAGTGGTGGTGGCGCTGACAACCCACTGCAAGTCGATGGTCTTGAAGGGGACCAGGACCATGTTCACATTCTCCCCCAGCTCCCGGAAGCTCTCAGGATACACCAGATGATGCGTGGTCTTGCTTCCTACGTCAGCTTCAAACCCCACTGTGGGTGCCCTGTTCATCCTGGGAAGAGAAGGCAGTGACATACCACCCATGGCTTGGACACTGCAGGGTACTTGAGAGCTGCAGCTGGGCTGTGGCCCCAGGTGCGTCCCTTTGTCTCCAGCGCTCAATATACCACAATGGGGACAGGGGAGACACAGGCCGAAGCTTTGGGGTTTTTTTTGCTTTCCCAACTCATGTGAGTGTGATGCCATTTACCTCCTTTATGGGACCACACCTATAGCTATTATAGGATCTTTTTTAATGGTTCAAAAAGCTGAGCTGAGACAGGTTGTTCTAGGCAATGGAACTACCAAGTGCTGGCCTTGAACTTGAGTCTGTCTGACTCAAACTTGACTCTGGCCCTGGCCGTGGACAGGCACACTGAGAAGCCAGGTGAGGTGTCCAGGATATAATGTCAGAGGTACAAGGAATGACTCATAAGGGGTGATGGAGAGACAAGAGAAAGTTTACATATGAAGCAACTTATCACAGGAAAGTGACATTGCCGAGGAAGATGGGATCAGTGTTTAAGGTGAGGGGGAGTATTTTGACAGGGATCAATGGCAATGCGTCTTTTACTAGAATAAATTTTTAAATTTAAACATTCGCCGTGTTTTTTGATCACACTGGGCTGATCACACATGTATGGCAACTTCTGTCAAACAAAAACCATTACAATGTGTCCTTGTACACCTCATTCACCAGATCTGGCACTGTGAAATTTCTGGCTCTTCCTCAAAGTTAGAATGACCACGGAAGGTTAAAATGTTTGGCACTGATTCAGGATATCGAGGCAGCCACAGTAGTGCACCTAAGGACATGAGAGAAGACTTCCAGAACTGCTTCAGAGAGCAGCAAGAGTGAGGAGACAAATGCGTTTGAAGCGAAAGGAAAGATTCTGAGGGGGTATTAATGGCATTTTGTCTTTTACTGTAATATATTTTTATAAATGTAGACATCCACTGTATTTTTCTGTCACATCAAATAAAGTCACAGAGGTGGAGAAATGAAAGTCTGCTCTAGAAGATGGCGGGGGACATCCAGGGCTACGTCTGCAGGCCAGGTCCATGTCTCCACCCGGAGGCACGTGTGAGTAAATGGTAAGGACTGTCTGAAACCCAGGGCAGACCTGGGCTTCAGTGATGTCTGTGCTACTTGGAGGCAGAGTAAATACACCTCACAGTAAAAGCTCAGGCTTCTGTCATGGCCTGGACTGCAGACTGGAGGGAATGCAAAAGGTAGAATCAGAGTCTTCCCACAACCTTGCCCACTCTAAGGCTGACCGGACCACGCTCAGCCCACTGGGGACCTCTGTGCATCCAGAGAGGCCCTTCTAGTCCACCCCGTCCAGCAATGCAAAGATGGGGACAATGAGCCTGAGTGGGTGCCTGCATCCCTGTGAAGGTCCAAGGCCCCAAGACTGGAAGCTGGGCCTTCGAACCTGAGCCAGGATGCTTTCCATAGCTCCAAAGTCCTGCTGGGGGCAGTGAGGTGGGCTTGGGCTGAGGGCCGCATACTCACCTGAGCACAAAGTCATGGCTGTCTATCTCAGGCCCATACAAGGACTCCCGCAGATTGCCTGAGTTGCCCACGACTGCACAGCGACGGCAACCCACCGAGCTCTTCTCCAGCATGGGGTCCACGTTCCCCGGCACCACGCTGAACAGCTCCTTGATGGCATTGCTTAGGTTACTGGGTTTCTTCTCCCGCTGCAGCCTCTAGAGCGTAGGGGAGAGGAAGATGGTGGGCTTGGAGGGGCTGCCTTGGGCAGATGGGTGCCACTACCCGGCCACCAACAGCCAAGAGCCCTGCACTGTGCTTACTATGGCCTCACATGTGGCCTTTTGTAGGACCCTGGACACAGCGGCTTTGACACAGCTGTCCCACCTCCCCACCAAGGAGCCCAAGGGCTGCTCAAGAAACAGAAAGGACAGAAAGGAAAGCCTCATTCATTCACTCTGCCAATGTCCACAGAGCACCTACTATGTGCAGGAAGCTGCACAACTCTCTTGAGATGAGAACATGGCCTCACACAAGTTGGACACGTGGAGAGGGGTGAGAGGCCCAGCTGGGAACCTCACTCCACGTATGGCTCCACAGACCCCTCACACCGGGCATATTCCAGCCTGTTCCTCCCTTGAGGATCTCTCTGAGAGGCCCCCAGCCCCTGGGGATCACAGCCAGAACCTTGGGCGGGGCATTCACTCCCACTGGGCTCCCTGGGTCCTTGCAAACCCACACACAGCTCAGGGCTGCACACCACTATTCACGTCTGCACAGGAACAGCAGGGGGTGGCTACAGTGTAGTCTCTGGCTGGACCCTGCCTCCCACTGACAGCAGCAGGACCCCCCTCCCACCCCTACCTCCAATGTTATCACCTTCTGTTCCTCAGCAGCCCAGCATCTCTGAGCTCCAGCCAAGGAATCAGCCCTTCTCGGGATGCACAGAGGTCTCTGATATCTGCCTAGCAGACACTTTGCACCTTCTAAAATGCAGTCCAAAGGTCAGCGACTCCAGAACTCCCTGCCAGGCCCCAGAATCCTGCTTGCTTAAGACCAAGGGGTCCCTTAGATGCAGGAATATCAATGCTAAGACCAGGATGACTGGGTCACCCTACTGGTTGCTGCCCTAATACCAGTCTACCCAGTGTCCCTGGGGGAGCTCTGGCCAGGCTGTGAAGTGGCCCCTTGGGAAGCATAGCCTTTCTCAGCCACGGTGAGTTCTGGAGGACTCTGAAAGAGTCTGTCATCATGCCATGGTGTTGTGTCATTTCAATGAGACAGCTAGGTTCAGGGACTTGTCCTATCTGTTGACCAGGATCTGAATCCTGGCTTTCAGGAACAGACCTTAAAGTTCCTCCCAGAACACAGCCACTATCTCTAGCTCTTGGGCTCCTAGAGGAGGTGGGCTATAGGGTGATTTCCCTCAGCTACCCCAGTCCAAGGGACAGGGGAGGTTGGGAGAGAATGAAGTGGCTACAGGTGCCTTTGGGCAATGTTCATGGAGACCAATGACCAGGTGAGTGTATGGGAGATCTTTGCCTTGGATGGAAGGAATCTGAATTCCCTGGAAGGAGGCTCCCCAGGAGACCCCTCTGTTCTCTAGTTAGAACTATACAGTATCTTTTTTAGCACAAGGCCATCAGACATGTGGTATGGGTCACATGTGGGTTGAGGGACCCAAGGCCTCATATATTCAAATTTGATACCTACTGTGAAGTATTAACAAGGTGGGGAATTAATTTGATTATGATGTTTAGAGCAGGCTCTCTGATTAGGGTCAGAGGTCAGTGGGATAGAGCATCCTGTCTTCCCCACTGAATACTGGTAGGTTTATAAGGACAGAGAGTGAGAGAGAGAGAGAAAGAGAGAGAGAGAGAGGGAGAGTAGAACACACACACACACACACATACACACACACACGCACACACACACGGGCTCCTGTGCCTTGTCAAAGAAGGCCCCTCCCTCCTGGGGACTCTGCCAGTAGGAAGGCTATCACCAGATGCAGTCCTTCATCCATACATCTTCCAAACTGGAGCCAAGATTAACCTCTTTATAAAGTAGTCTGCCTCAGGTATTTCATTATGACAGTGGGAACCAGACTGATACAAGATGCTACAGGAAACACAGGGCACATTCTCCAGACCACACCTCACACCCACCAGCACGGTTTGCATCACAAATGGAAAAGAACTTGTGCTGGGAAGGAAGTGGAGGAAATGGAACCCTTGTGCATCATGGGTGGGAATGTACAATGGTGGAAAACAGTTTGGTGACTTCTCACAAGGGTAAGCCCAGGACTATCCTATAACTCAAGAATCCCCTTCCCAGGAATATTGCCAGAAGTGGAGAAATAATGCATGGCCCAGGACAAGGCAAACAAAATATATTCGGCACCAGCTTGGCGCAGCCACATGCCCACAAGCTGCCCTTTCTGTTAGACCAAAACTTGGCAAGGGCTAGAGCAGGGCACAGTGAGACTCTGGGTCCTTGTGCTGAAAAGGCAGAAAGAGAATCACCACAGGAATTGGTGCCTGCTCTGTTGTGCCATGTTCTCCAACGCTCTCATCTTGTCTGCCCCAGAGACACAGCCTACACTTTAGGAACTACATCTGCTCCTAGATCTGATGCCCAGACCTGGAGAAGGACTCTTCTGGGGTTCTCTCGTGACAGCATCGTGGTAGAGCCAGGGAGAGGCTGCAAGCCAGCCTGAGTTGTCTTTCTGTGGCTCAGCATCCTGATCCATCCACACTGCCTGCCTTCTTTGCATTTAGGTCTCAGCTCGGATTCTGTCTGCTCAAAGACCTCCTAATGACCCCAGTCACAGAGGCCAACCTTACACATTTCTCCTTATCCCAAGCTCATTTCGCCTTCCCAAGAGCGCTGCCAACTGTGCCCACCTTGGACACCCTGAGCCCTCTGATCTGTGGGCTTTGCACCCACCATCCACCATGTGTAAAGAACACTGTAGCAAACAAGCACAGACCTTCTTCTTTGCCATCCTTACCTAAACAAGTCAGTATAACAACATTTTCTTGGCACTGGAATTGTGTTAGATATTCTAAGTTATCTAGACATGATTTCAAGTATACACCAGGATGTGTGTAGCTTCTATGTGAATACTATGCTATTGTGATCAGGAACCTGAGCATTCATGGGTTTTGCTATCCAGAGTGACCTGGAACCAGATACTGAGGGATATTTACATTTGATTTGTTTCTTATCTGTATCAGCTGGCCAAATAAAAATTCCATGAGAATAACCTTCCTTCTGACACCTGTTGTAGGTGGCCAGGAGCCATTTGCAGAAGCTAAAAACATGGCCTTCCCTGGAGAAAGGGGCCCTGCAGAAGACACTGCCGAGGGAGTCTAGACCATGACAAGGTGGACCCAGAGATGCCAGGAGACAGGGGAGAAGGCTCTCAAAGGAGGAGGCAGCCAGGAGCTGTAGGATGCTAAGGATCACCAGGAACCAACCCTGGCCACACCTTCATTTTGGATTTCTAGTTTCTAAAAGTGTGATGGAATACATTTCTGTGGGTTAAGCCACCCAGTTTATGGCCATTGGTTATGGTAGTCACGGGAAACTAATTCCATACAACCTGCTCTGAGTTATACATAGCAGATGCTCAATGCACAGTTGTTGAGGGAAGGAATGAACGGTAGTCTAAAAGCTGCCAAATGCCTGGCATTCAGCTCTGGGCACCCCTGCCCCTGCCAAGTCCCGCCCAGGCTGCAGGCCTCACCAGCCACCACTGGTACGTGTCCTCCTCCAGGACTGCATTGTGGGCCGTGAGCAGCGGTTGCATGGTCTGGTTGAAGCGCTTGTCAAACCAAGCTGAGACCTTGAGCTGGCTGATGCAGTGTGTGCAGGTGCAGGGCCGGGACTTGATCAGCTTCCTGAGGTTCTGTGACAGCTCGAGGACCATCTGCTTGGGGAACCAGGCTGCGGGCACCGCAGTGTGCGAGTAGTTCAGGAAAAAGGAGGTGAGGAAGATGAGGAGCACCAGGAAGGTGAGCACTTTGAGGGTCTTCTTCTGTGTGGTCATCATCTTTGCTTCCTGCTGAGGGGTGGTGGGAGGGGGCCCTACTTCACTGAGTAGAGACACAAAGGAAATCTTAGATGAGCAGGCTCAGTTGGAGGGGACGGTGGATCCCCAGGAAGGCCTCAAGGGCAGCTTAGGCCAACTTCGTTCCCAGGGAGAAGCGGCCGGCCCTGTGTTCTGGATGTCCCTGTGTGGCACACAAAGGCCATCCGTGGTGTGATGGATTTGCTCTTTGGGATATAAGGTAGCCTGCCTCTTCTGCAATCCTGAAAGGGCCAATGACGCCTCTAGTCAAAGTTCTCATTAAACATAATAACAGTGATTTCCTGTCCCATTCAGTCTGGGGACCTTCAGGGCTGAGGACGTGGCAGGAAGGTCTTGGGATATGCAGGGACACCTCGGTAACACCCACTCCTCCGGAAAGTGTGGTGTGCGATGATCCTTAATTAGATGCTTGACTCTTCCATGCTGTCGCCAGGGAGGTGGCAGTTAAGCGGCTGTCTTGATGAGGACCATGGTCTGCCTGTGATGTGTATAGAAAAGAAGGAAGAAAGAAAGATAACAAGGGTTATAAAAGTGTTTCTCTTTCCATACTTCCAACCGTGCCTTCCACAGTCTCTTTCTCTCTATGGCTACCATTGCAGGAGCCAGGGGAGCCTCAGTGTGCAGTGTGTACGCAGCGGGGTGCTTGTATCTGTTTGCAAGGTTGCTAAGCACACACCCTATCCGCAGCCAGAACCCAGCATGGTGAAGCATTCCACACAAGTGTGGGACCAGTTAGCAACCCGCTGAGTTCAGCGTGGGGGCGATGATGACACCTGGGTCATTTGCCTCTCTGGCTCCTTTAGTTTCTGCTATATTTTGAATTTCACCACCAACAGCATGAGTAAGGACAAATCAGAGCCCTCCACTTCCGAGGAGATGGAGGGACCATTTGCCTCAAGGCAGCATCTCCCTGTGTGCAGGTGGGGACAAGGGGCTTTTATGGAAGGGAACAGAGGGAAGGAGAGTGCAGGGAGACGGTGCAGATCTCTACGCTTGGTTTATGGCTGTAGCCATCGTCAGCTTGTTTTCCTCCTTAGAAAGGACACTGGGCTCCTACCTTCTGCACCCAGCATCTGTATCTTCTGTCTCTGCTTTTGGGGTGAGGAGAGGAAGGGGTGTTGGCTTACGCATGCAGCAGAAGGAAGTCTGGAGAAGTTACTTATCTCTGTTTTGAAGTGCCGGGAATAACACTAGCCCATGGGAAGGACAGTGGTGCTGCATAAGGCCGAGATAGGCAGTGGGAAAGGCCCAACCCTAGCCAGGCCTGCAGCCAGCCCTGCACCTTGACTTTTCCGTTCCGCAGTCCATCTCCTGTATTGTGTACAGCATGTTGTTTGCAAGTTGAGGCAACATGATTTACCCATTGGTGGCAGCTGCTCCTGCCTCTAGGCCCCTGCCCAGGGTATAGCCCTCTCCAGAAAAACCATCCCACCTGGCACGGCTCTAATTCATGCTTCAGGGCTCACCTGGTGCCACTCCTGAGGCCTCCCTGATCCCTGAGGCCCTGGCTCTTTGGCCTGCATTGCTGACTCAACTCCCCTCCCCTCCCCAGCCTGGGAGCTCCCTGAGGACAGAAGCTGTCTCACTTGTCCCCTGGCACACAGGGCTAGTGAAGTTCCTGGTGGCCTGAAGGAATGCAGAAAGGAAGAGAAATCCATACCAGGCCTGCAATTCAGAGGCAAATCTGAGCAAGAAAGCCAGGACCGAGGGCCAGAAGATTTTCATTCTCAGCAGGCTGTGCCTCCTCATCACTGTGTGACCGTGAACAAGTGACCCGGCCTCTCCAAACCATTCTGTCCCATGGAGCTAACAGATTCTGATAGGAGCTCAGGCTATCAGCCCGTCAAGGTCACCTATTCCTCCAATTGATTCACTACTGATTTGCTGGTGCCCTGCGATTCCAGGTACTCAGCAGTGTTTGGGATCTTGAAAAGCTCTAAGTGAGAGCTTCTAGGGCATCCACAGGCCCCAGTGCTTTGAGAGAAGGGAGGCTGGTGTGGCATCAGGGACAGGATCAGGGAATTGGATAAGAACAGAGTAGGATGTGTAGGTGGGGAGAGAGTGTGTCAGGCTGTGGAAGTTCAGTCGAGGCTAAGATTTCTCCTAAATCAGACACAGAAGGTTAACTATCACATGGTCTCTCTTATCTGAGACACCAAAGTATAAATAATTGAGGAGCAAAATAAAAGATACAGTGATGAGAAAGGGAGATAGACCATGCAAAGATGGGAAGGGGAAGGGTCGGAAGACAGAGGCAGGGAGGGGAAGAGTAAGTAAAAAGGATTAAGATAGTAAGATATGATGAATGTGGTATTATTAGAATTTCTCTCTTTTCATTTTCATGAATGTATTTATCATGTATCACAGACCTATACTCAGAAAAAGAGGGGAGAGAAAAAATGGAAAGGGGGAAATTCTAATAGCTCTAAAACTCAAGAAAAGGAAGAAACCTGCTGGAGGGTCTGAGCAAAGGGTGATCTGCCTTCACAACATCTGTGTTTACAACGAGCAGGGCCACCTCCCCTTACTGTCCCTGTGCTAGTGCAGGGATGAGCTCCCTTTATAGGATGAATGCTGAGTGCAGGGACAGGCAGGAGGGACATCCTAACAGCATCCTAGCTTGGGAGGAGATAGGAGTTCTCTGGGCTGATGTGAACGTGGAGTGAGTATTGGGGATGGAGGGAAGGGTTGAAATGTCTGTGACAGTCCCCCCCCTCTGCATCCTGGTGGCAGCATCTCTGAAGCCCAAAGCCAGATATTCATGTGGATCCCACTTACCAGAGCTGCTGACCTGGTAATGTTTAATGCTTCTAAAAACCCTGGGGGAAAGCGCAATGGAAAAGCAAGCTCTCTCCATCCCTTCTCAGGCCCTAGGGAAGAAAAAAAGATTGTGGGACCTGCATATCTCCCTGCGTTCTCTCAAGTGCCAGGGAATCTGCAGACCTCAGGGTGGCCAGCCCTAGCTCTCAGAAATGGAACCCAGGCCACCTTGCCATGGAGCCAAAAGTGTCTATGTGCCCAACATGGGGTGGAGGCAGAACGTCCAAACACAAAAAGAAGGCAGAGAGCGAGAAAGTTCCCAGCTCTTTTCTGCAGAGTGACTGTCATCACCAGGCCACATGCTGGGAATACTGGGAGAAGCACAGAACCCATGCATGTGACAGAGCCCCCAGAACAATAGTGACCAAGGTTAGCTCTCTTCCCAGGACTTGGAAAGTAAGAGGTTGACACTGCTGTGAATAGGTAACCCAGGTAGGATGCCCCCCAGCTCTATAATAGCTCGGGGCACTTTAGCTCCTGGTGAAATGGCCCAGTGAACCGATCAGGCTGCTGCTATTTCTATCAGAGTGGCCACAACTATCCACTGTGATCCTCAAACAGTAAGGCAAGGTGGACAGTCACTCCACCCTCTTGAGATAAAACCACCTCATTCACCCTCTCTTCTTCTGTACCGCACCTACTGAATTTACATATTTAGTTCTTCGTTTCAGTGGTAGTTTTTAGTTCTAGAACTTCTGTTGGATTATTTTGCATAACTTCTACTTCTGTGCTAAATCTCTTCATCTCGTCACCTCTCTCCCAGTAATTATTCATCACAGCGATTTTAAGGGCCATGTTGGATACTATGTGGGTCTATTTCTGCAGTCTGCTCCCCCCGACCCTCTGGTTCATGTGGTTGTGCCACCTGCAGGGATGGGTGCTGTCCATACTGGGTGTGCCACAGATGCAGCAGCTCTGTGTGGGGCTCCCCTATGGGAGGATGGGCTGTGCTTTATCTGCCAGACACTGGTCCATTTCTGATTGGCCCTTACCCTGGGGGGGGCAGTCTCTCAAAGAATAGCAAAGTAATCCTCTCAAAGGGCAGCTCACATCTCCAGTGCCTGTCCCTTGCATGATGAGATGGCCGTTAGCTTAATGTTCCAGCTTTTTAGCTGCTGCTTCCTACTTGGTTTCTGAGGGTCTGGCCCTAGTGTACCTTGAATACTGGCAAATGCCTCAAAAGAAAAGCATGGCACAGAATGTGAGTTCTTCCCTCTGCGGTTTCCCTTGGGTCCTATAGGTGCTGGCTGACTTAGGTGTCCTAAATCCATTCACACACTCCATGCATCTCTCCGTCTAGCTCCATCCAGCTCTGTTCTCCTCCCCAACCTTGCAAGACTGCCACACTTTGAGCCGCTTGACTGCTTCTCTGGCCCTCTGCTTCCTACAAGTCAGTAATATGTCCTGCAGGAAGGGAGCAGGGACTTGTGGACTCGCCCCAATTTCTCTCCCTTCTCTCTGAAACCTTCACCCCTCCAGGCCTGGCTTCCTGGAGCACTTTCCATGCCTGCAGGAAGTGGGATTTCTGTATTTCCAGCTTCTAGGGGCCTTGGTGAGAGAGTTTTCTGATGCAGCATCTGCCATAGCCACATGTGGAAGCCATAGTGTGCCCCTTTGTTCCTCTGTGTTTCTGGGACCTGCAGTGGTATGCTCTACATGTCAGGGGCCTGACAAATACACATGAGGAGGGGACCAGAGGGGCCCAGAGGGTCTGAAGCCTATTTCTTCCCTGCAAGTATAGAATTATGCAGGCAGGAGGGGTAGAAAAACAGACTGCAAAGTGACCTTGTTGACCTTGTTGGACATCCTCTCTCAGCCCTAGAGGCCCAGTCCTAGTGGCCAGTTGTGTCAGAACATCCTCTGAACACACCAGCTCCAGACACACAGTCCACGACTTCTGGATCATCCCTTATGGGGATCTTGAGGTTGGCCTTTAAGGTCCTATCTGGTTGGCTTCCCATGGTAGTGTGGGGTGGCATGAATAAGAGCTGAGGAGCAGAGGGTCCTCGCACTTGCTGTGCAGAACAGTCTTTTCCCAAATTGCCTTCCACATCCTGGTCAACAGGCACTGGAATCCATCTAAAGAACCTGTGGATCTTTGTTGGACCACAGTTGTTGGAATGGAAAATGTCAGAAAGATTAGGACTCAAATCCCAGCTCTTCCTGGTCCTCTGTGTCACGGGCCAGTGCTTCATTTCTCTGATTGTTGGTTGTAGACTCTAAGACTAGGGCTCACTCATGTGCAGGGCTGCATAAAAGGAAGGATGTGCACAGAACGGCCCAGGTCCTGGGCAGAGCAGATGTACCCTGTGGGGCATTCTGTTCTTCCTCCCAGAGCTTCAGACTTTTCATCAGAGCCTTAGCATGCCCACTAGCAGGGTTATTTCAGCCAAGTGAAATCAGGCAGCAAAAAACACAAACCAGCATCATGGTGAGCATATTGATTCTCAGCGGCTGGACTCGTTGCCTTAGTTTTCATAGACACTGGGTGGCTGAGCCTTCTCTACTTTCTGCTTCAGTGGTCAGAATCTCTAGGACCTGAAGGGAAGTGGTCCTAATTCACTCAGGGAAGAGGAGGAGGGAGGTCAGGATTCCCAAGGGTTTTAAGACCCAGAGGGCTTAGCAGCATCCATGTCTCAAGTCAAGATTTGATTGGAACCAGGAGTGGGGTGTTGAGCTCTGGCCTGACCCTTGTGATTCTCTGTGACCACCTTCATCTCCTTAAGAGAACTTCCTCAAAGGGTCTCCACTCCTTCCAGTGTTCTAGTGCCTGATCACTGTAAGTCCCCTGCTACATAAGCCTGGAACTCAGGAACATTGCCTGCTAGCATCCAAACTTTACACCTCCCCAGGGAAGGGTGGCAGTGATGGGTGGGGGACATCCTGTCCTTTGCATTGTTCTTTGTAGTTTGCAGTTCATGACAACAATTTACCAACAATTTGAGCATGCTCTGTACACTGGATGAAGAACAGAACACAGGCTTTGGGGTTAGACAGTCCTGAATATGAACACTGAAGCTTCTACTTCCTAGTTGAGAGGTTCTGTGTAAGCCAATCTACATCACTGGACTTTACCATAAGATAGGGCTATGGTGTCATCTCTTCAAAAGAATGCATGAGGGTTAAGTGCAGAAATGCCTGGCATTAACAGTGGCTCAATACAAATTTATAGCTAGGACACTGAGGTCCAGAGTCTGTAGAACCAGGAAACAGAGCGTGGACTTGGACTTGGGTCTTTTATATCATATAGAATGTTTTTCCAGAATTGGAATCTATGCCTGGTTGCCTCCCTCCTTTCCTTCCTCTTCCTTTCCTGTACCCTGCACGTCTGCTCTGTGCTAGGCATGGATTTCCAGGAAAAAGAACTTGGCTTTGGAAACTGTGTACTTTGGGAAGAGTCCTTCTGGCCTACCTGTTATTATGCAGAGGTCTGTCTGACTTCAGCTTTAATCCCTCACCTGGAGAATCAGCCTAGCAAGAAACCACAGGCCAGTGAAACTGCAAGCTCCTGCCTAGGCACTTTGCTCGGCAGATAACAAGCACTTCCCCAGGGCTTCTGCTTCCTATGCCTCATACATTGCCTTGCAACTAAGAGTACTCCTGGTCTCAGGTGGCTGGGGCTGGGTGGCAAGCCTCCTTGCTGGCGCTCTTAATCCTTGTAGCTTTGTGGTTATCATACACTGGAGATCTTCCTGATGAGAGGCGTGCAGAAACCTTTAAGGAGAACACTGCAAACTGGTTGTTAAGATCAAAGACTAAGGCCCAGGCTAGGGAGGTACCTGCAGTTCTCATGATCCAAACTTCTATTCAAAGGCATAACTGCTGGTGATCAACTCTGTTTTTATCTGAGGCCTTTAGGGCATCTTGTTCCTTGTTGCCACAAGGTTCCTGGTGCTGGTCACTATTTACTGGAGTCAAGGTTTTCTCCTATCTCCTCCATTCTACCCTCTGTGAGACAGGGGCTGGAAGCCTGGAAACTACATTCCCCAACATTGGCAATCAGCCAATGACATTTGGATGAGCAGCAGGGAGAGGCAGGGACTTCCTCCTGCGTAGGTGCTGTGTGGATGCCCGGAGAACTGAGTTTTGGACTCCTGTTGGCTTTGGCCCAGGGAAGTAAAGGCACCGGCTGAGGGCAGCCAGGGACTGGAGGCATGATGCTCTTGCCAAATGGTCCTTGTTCCTACACTGGCTTTATCTTGGGGTCCCAGCAAGTCTTCTCCCTTGTCCCTACAGCCCAGGGTTGAATCATTCCCAGTGTTTCCATCCTCAGGGACTGTAGCACACTGTGATTCTGCAAGTAGCCCTTCCACCAAACGCTCCTTTGCTGTTCACCTTGGCGGTGTTGATGGGCTGCATCCTGCCACCAGGCTGGCCAGCCCAGTGCTGTTTATTGCATAACTCCAAGGGAACTGTTGCCGAGTGGTTTGTTCAGACTGTGCCCTGGAGGTGCCCCTCAGGCAGCTCTGAGTGCCTCCCCTGGCCCAGTACCATCCCTCCAGGGAACCAGACTGCTGTCCATCAGCAAGCTGTATCCCTGAGCCCTGCCTTTCCTCCCACCTTGTGCAGCCACTCTTTCTGGAATCCTCCCAAACCTCACTGCAGCTGCTGTAGACACTCACCTGTCATCAGGTAGAACTGCCTCGGCTCACTGATCTGGACAGAACCAGAGGCTCCCCTGTAACTCAGGGTCCCTCGAGGAAGAACTTCTCCCTTAGGCTCCTTGGTGAAAGCCACAATCTCCCCTCCAGCATGGTTTTCCCATAGAAACTGCAACCAACACCAGCATAAGCCACAGGGACTTTGCACTGGCTGCTCTGGGGGCTGACTGAAGCTGGATCACTTCCTACTTCTATAGTTTGATCACTCTCTCCTCCTGTAGTTTGATCACCCCCTACTTCTAAGCCCTGTTTACTGTGATCTGCCCACCCTTCCTCTCTAGTCCACTCTCACTCTAATTGGGCTACTGGAAGAATCCCACAGACAAAGTTTGGCAGGATATCCCTAACCAAATCTGGGGACCAGTGGTCCTATCCCTCCCTCCCTCTTT